ACAGGTCAGTCTCTTTAATCGGTCGTTGAAATTTCCACGTTGGATTAGCTAGCATTTGCTTTGATTAAATATTTCACATTGATACTGGACGAGATTTTCGTTAAAATCATCTCCAACAATGACTATCTGGTGTAATCAGATCAAGGTATGTTGTCATACACAGTCAAACGACTTTATGAAACTTTCGATTGTGGCGTCATAACACAATGCCGTCATCAGATTGTGACGTCACAATAGTAAAGGTTGTTGAGCTACAATAGTGACATCATAATAGTGAATGCCTGCGCGTGTTAGATACACATAACAAGAACGAGTGTTGTGTACGGGTCACGTGTATCCAACTTACGTCGAGGAGAGACACATATAGAAAGATATGAGAACGAGAATATCAGTGTTAGACGTAGTGTAAGGCTTCTCTTCCAGATAATCACGCGCACAAAACACGTTTAATCTTAGTACTTATGATAAAACGCCTTTAACAATAAGTGGTAATGCTTATGTACTTTGCCTTATAGATATATACATGTTGAAATGATAAATGCCTAGCGGACAACATTGTTTTATATTAAAATATTTTCCTCCGAAGAACAATCGTGATTTACGCAAGGATACTGACAATTATCGCAAAACTCTATGGATTTCTTATTTTACCTTATGTTCAGGATCACTTGACACTGTCACATCTGTCTCCCAAAAGCGCTCAAAATAATGTTAATATCTCATATATACAGACTGTTATTATATAGAAACAATATTTTTTTTGTTTATTAGTCTTAGACTACGGGTCTTCATCGACAAAACGGCGATACATAAATATATTTAGTGTTTCCCCCCCCCNNCCCCCCCCCCATACTTCTGTAACAAATTGGCGTCTTTGTGCTGTATGTCCTGTATACAGCTATGGTCATTTGAGCAGTCAGGAGAGGGAGACAAATCCTCCAACATTAAAAATCGTTGTATATTAATATACTATTTAAGAGATGGTGCACATTGATTACAAAAGTGTTTTACATAGTTGTTAATTCACAAGCAGAGGAGTGTTACTGTGTGCTGTCTTAAGATCTGTTGTCAAGTAGTTAAGTTGTCGATCGGGTATGTAATGACAATGAGTCATGTTGTCAATGGAATACAATGTCACATAGAATGTCAATAAAATATGTTGTCGATCCTATATGTAATCAATGAGTCATGTTGTCACTGAAAGACGATGTCACCTACATTTTCAAACAAATATGTTGTCGATCACATAAGTATATAATCAGTGAGTCATGGTGTCAATAAAATACGTTGTCACCTACATTTTCAATATCTAGTCATCAGAAACGAAAGTATTGATTATCAACCCAGACTTAGTATCTGTCTATCAGTCATGAGACGAGGCATATCAACATGTTCCGCATTCCTTCACGATAAAACACATTTTAAATTACATAAGAGCCCACTATTTATATTTTAAACGGTAAACAAACCACTTGAAAATAATCTTTGAACACGATTACCCGTGTTTGTCGTCTACTTTTATTCCATTTGCATATTTCTAAAGGTCTGTAAATGAAACACACTGGTAAACTAGAAAATATTCTATACTGGGAATTTTTTGTTTCAGTTAAAACAAGCGAATATTAGTATACTGCATACTTCATATATCCATTACATATAAGGGCAAATTAAGGTTGGCGAATACGGATCCTACCAGTCAATTTTGACTGTACAAAAGATTCCCTTCATACATTGCAACACTATATCTGATATAGATCAAGGTGTGATTTAAATCACTTTACTCCCGCTTAAAAATATTATGTAGAGATTTGCGCTCCTGTAATGTGTTTAATCTAAAGAAATAACTTATATATACACTTATATATATTTTCTTTGAAAACGGCGTATCATGGCCATGTATTTCTTGTAATAATGGAAATACGGGTGCCTTTCTTGGTCCAGGACACCTGGTTTCGGCACTAGTTTGATAGATTCACGCGTATTTCAGGATTTTTATTTCTCCGTGGTTCACGTTTTCATCATTTGTTGACCAAATGAAATTATGATTATTTAACATTAAAGTTCTTCATGTAAACCGAACAGTTCATTTAAAGCGGTCATTTCATTTCAAAATAACACATGCAGGGAAAAGATAGGCCTGCTGTATCCAACTGCATGATCGTAAGAGGCAACACATGTGGGGCCTCTCTATAGAATTGGGAAAGGTTTTTTGCATTGTGTTACTTTTCTTCTGAGAAGGGAACATGGACGAGATAAAAATTGATCTTTCTAGTTTCCAATATTTCCTGTCTTCTGCCCTTTCTATTTACTTTCTGTTTCAGACGGTGTTTCCCTAGGCACCCGTCGTCACATGACCCTTGCTGTCGTAGCGAAAACAAATCATTCAAAAAAAGTATTATTCAAACATCGATCTGATTTCGAGACAAAACGAGTTTCTCTCTTAAAACGCTATGAGAAACGGATAATCTGATCACATCATAACAAATTTTGTTAGAATCAATGCTGATGTTCTCACATCAAAGTCTACACCCGAGTATACCCTTAACAGAATTTATCACCACCTTGGGGGTGAGTTAGGGGAATATTATCCCGAAGGGCGAAGCTTCCTAAGTTGTCAAACGCGAGGCTTAGCCGGTAACCTCAACGTTGCTTTATGAATATGCCTGGATCACCAAGAGTAAAGGTAAAAGAAGAATCATCCATACCCTTGAGGTGAGATGGAGAATTTCAACCCTCGGGTAAAGATCCTTATATTTCAATCCAAAGGGGGTAAACGGTTATATTAAAAAATAAACTAGTACACAAAATATGTAGGATAGACATATCACATATGATGGTACAGATCTGCGGGAAAATTAAAACAAACCATCTATACCCTTGGAAGTAGCACATCATAATTTGGCTTAAACTAAAAATCAAAACTCAGCGAAACAGATAAAAATGACGTCAAACGTGGTACTGCATGTCGTCATCTCATTGTCTTGATGTTTGATGCCAAGGAGTGTAGAATAGAGAAACTTTAACGACGAGGTCAATTAAAATAGGTAAAGACGAAGGCTTTTGCATATATTTAACGTAATCAAGGATGGGATTTTCCTATACTTCACAACTGGGCATATGAGGGTATTTTTTTCTCATTATATTCAACAGAATTAACACAGAAACTACAAAAAGTCATTTCAATTTCAGCAAATCGGCAGGGGATGTTCCAAATGCCGTGTCGTACATTATAACAAAGGCGCGCGTGATGAAAATGGGTGTACGTTAGAAAAGCCCTAAAACCTTTTCCTACCCTTGTAAGCTATGTCATATATGTACCGGATTGAAAGAAAAACGAACCCTATATGAGTGGCCCGTTTGGGAATGGTGCATTTTACATACGCAGATGTGGGATAAAGATATAAAAACGACCATATCAATGTTAGGAACAGCGTAAGGCCTGTTATTCCAGGTAATCGCACACACATGACATCCTGAACTTAACTACTGATGGTACTACACATGTGGCTATTAGATTTAGTGGTTGGATAATTGACTGTACAAATATGGCTACTTTGATATGATAGATGCCTAACAGACAATCAGCATCAAAACTATCTTCCGGAGAAAAAATAATATTAACGGAAGAATACTGACAATTATCACAAATCTGTACTAGCAATGAAAACAATCTTAAACACAAAACAGCGAATTTCATTGCTCAATCAGATGATAAATACATTATTGAAATTGCTGAAAAGTATTGTGAATCGATAGTTATGAAACGTACGAATCTAATAAGGCCACGTGAATAAATAATCAAATTGAGGATAGATATATTAATCAAATGTTTGATGTTTATACTTTCCGTAGTATGTTCTGACCTAAAACTGATAATATATCTTCACAATATCCACGATGTAATATAAATGAGGAATTCCAATGGAGTCTTTTATATACTTATATATTTTCTCTAGGATGTACAATTGAATAAAGCATTTCTTTGTCGATATCTTAAATATATCATCGATGCTTAAAGGAATACTGAGAGTTGTATATCCGTAGTCATATTAGGTAATTTTTCACATTGCAACATGTATGTGCATGGGAAAAAAATGACAACAATGTTGTCAAACTCGTATATCTTTTCGATACAATTAATGAACAAGTATGTACAATGATACTAATAATGAAAGTCTTATACAGGTTTGATCCTGAAGGAAAGTATGCCAATGTGTTTTTAATTAATAGTACCTTAATTAAATTTAATTCCTATGAGCACTTCTGTGATGGTGATAAATAAGAGACCCTTTATATTAGTTGTTCACTCACTTACCTTAGGTAGTTCAGCGCTTCATTAGGAGAAGGAGTTGCGTAAAGTGCATCTCAGCTACGAAGTTTTTCATTAAGATAACAACAATTGTTTTCATATTATGTATGCTTAAATGGTATGTGACAATGATATGTTATTTGAGATATAGGTCTTGCTGAAATGTCTGTGGCGTAGGAATGGGTTCAATAAATCTTTGATACTCATATGTAATGAAGTTACACAAGCCAGATCCTATTTCAGAATAGCTATCGATGGGCCGTTAAACTCAAACAAAGAAAATGATTTTAAAAGATGCAAACACACATATATAAGTATTTGTATTCTATATATCATTTGTAAAAGAATTCTTAGGCTAAAGATCACTAACATAATAATGTCGTGTGATTTTAAAAACAAAAGTATGGAAATTGAGATCTAGAACAACATGCATATGGATTGTTCAAAGTTAAAATGCTGAAAAATGAAAATATCTAGATATCATAAAGTTTCTCTTTTAAATAGGATTTTTGAGTATTTGCATTACAACCTACCAAGGTAACCATACTGTGAACAACGAGTACCTGACAGCAGGAGCTGTATACAACCGTGACGTGTAACGAATTCTGAGAAAATGATGATAGCGTTTGCTAATCCTATTAGATGATCACATGGGCCTGTGTTATCAGATGATGTAAATAGGATAGTTTTTCGTGTGGTCCATTATTCACTGAGCAGCCCTCCTCACCGACAACACGGTAAGCGATAAAGTGTCAGGCTATATTACAATCAGCATAAAACTTAAACTGGTGTGTACGTATCCTTAAAATACAATCATGACATAAGCGCTAAATATTTAAGCATACACAGTGAGATGGTTTTTGTTTCATTATTTATATTTTTCAATATTTTTCAATATCTATGTGAAAAAAAAGAACCTCAGTACAAGCTTTCTCTTTGTCCAGTATACTAGCAAAATGGTATTTAATAAATTGATTTGTCAACATAGCAAACCGCAGCTATATACATTTACCACCTAATATTTTAATGTTTAATCGTTGTGTGAAGTTGTAGTTCATACTTACGCTAACAATGCCACATTTTGACATTGAGTAATTGCATCTATGAATTGAATGTATCAATTATCTTTATTGGGGAGATTTAAAACATTCAATAATGTTTTAAGATTGTTTCAATGTCTGGCTTTCTCATAATGTCTGCGAGATGATTTCATAAAAAATCTTTTATTAAACTGTTTTTCTGGCTTAGACAATTAATGAAACGATAAAATAAATGTTTTTTGTGATATTTGGGGAGCTCCACGTCTCAGTTAACAAAACACAAACATAGTTCTTTGATTCACCACCTGTCGCAGTTTCCTCTTTTCAAACCACTTTTTAAATATATAACTTGATATCAATGTTCTGGCTGATGTGATCCTTGATTGCCGATTCAATGAACGGATTTTCCAATTGTATCCTCTGTCATATGGCGTATTAAAACAAAACAAGAGATCGATGTTAACGTAGTTCTCAGATAGATGATATCTTCTTAAAAATATAATTGCATGAATAACAAGTATACTGTATCAATGAATAAATAATGCATTTTACAATAATGCTAAAAAGTCAAAATGATCACTTTTTTTGCTTTATAGAATTGAAAAAATGACAAACAAATTGTTCTTGACGCTTTTCATACGTCTTGCAATAACTCGCCTTTATAGATTTCTCGACAACTATTGTTTGTTATTAATCAGCCTCTGAAAGTATATGAAAATATATGTTGAAAGTAATGAACCCATGTCTTAACCTCTGTTAGTAACTCAGCCAGATTAACCGTACTTTTTAATATATTTTTAGCACATTTTAGACGTTTGCCCTTTTGTTCACATGGAATCGGGCATCTTTAATTTCAAGCGCTTGATCAGAATAAGATGCGTACTGCCTTCTGAAATGCCAACTCTATGCGCTATTTCAGAAACAGTATAACAAGTACAATGTATTATCCTTAACCATTGCTTTGACCGTATGTCCTCTCTGATGTCAAAATTTCCATTCTTGAATGTGATTGTGTACAACTCTGCATGTTTCTGCTCTGGCGATATCAGCCATGAATGCATACCATTTAACAATGAATAACTTGTTCAATTCTTGTCGAATGCTGTCGAAATTTTACACGTGGACTTTTCTTTAAATGCTTTTGCTTCTGCTAAGGCGCTAAACATTTATATCCCGTTCGCACGAGAGCGTTGTAATGATATTAATGATAATAATTCGAGGTTCTTATATACCGCTTTATCACAACCTAGTTCGTAGGTCGTCTCAAAGCGGTTCACAAATTATTATCCGTGGTTATAGGGCCTTTGCAACCAGCCAATACCTTTCTCAACTCCATACGGAGCATACAGCCGGAGCTGCCATTTCGGCGCTAACAGCTAGCATTAAACATTTCTAGCACTGTCCAACCACGTACTCATTTACAGCTGAGTAGACTGTGAGACAGATTGTATTGCATGGTCCGCGTAATCACAACGGGTAAACCAGTTTCTTGGTTACCCCAAACAACTTCCATTTTTAAGAACTTAGGTATGTCCCGACCTGGGACCGCGCCAACTGTGTAAATAAGTTAATATGAAATAAAACATCCTGAATTAATTTTCAAAATACTGGCATTTTGTCAATTTTACATTCTTATGTTACTTACATATTTGACCAGACGATCTTGTAACAGATAAGAGTCCTGTATTTAACAAAAAAAGTATTCTGCTGCAAGTGTTCTTCAATTCTAATTTATTTCCGAAAAAGTAAAAAATGTGGTAATAATGATATATGTAGTTTTGAATTACTTTTTATACGATTTTTTTTATCCATATATGATGTTTGTGTTTCAACGATATACTGATGAAACAATGAATTTAATCATATGTGATGCAAATTTAGATACAGCGGAAAACATATTTAAATTTGAATCATTTAATTCAAAACACAGACTCCAAAACGGAAAGAAATTAACTTGTTAAACAGCTTAAGTTTTACATTTTTGTAGTACTCTATAATACAATCACGGTCAAATATGACGAATTACACTATCGATATAGTCTGCATCTTGACTAATCGTCTGGTACACACATGGTAGTGGTTCTTATTACGAGAGTAAGCCGGAAATATTATTATTCCTGTTATGGCCTCAATTTTGAAGAAGGAATTTCCTGGTGGTTGAAATGAGGAAGGAAATCCTAACAGATGCCATATATGTTGCATTGTGTGATTACCCTTGAGGATTGTTTCTGTTGTAATCATTTAAGATGAGTAACCGCTTGAATGTATCCCGTATTCACTTAAGTGTTTGTTATGCCCCCGCCATAAAATGGGGGGGGGGGGCATTTGTATTACCAATGTCCGTCCCGTCCCATCCCGTCGCGTCCCGCCGCGTCCCGTCCCGTTCCGATTCAATGTAAACACTTAGCAACTTCATTCTTTGAAAGATTTTGGTCAAACTTTATACAAAGGTCAAGTATGATTATACTTCCGACATCATTGTATTTTAGGGATCCAAGGTCAAGGCCAAGGTCACACTTGCTATATATAGAAAATCGTCCCGTCCCGATTCAATTTAAACACTAAGAAACTTCATTCTTTCATGGATTTTGGTCAAACTTTATACAAAGGTCAAGTATGAGTATACTTCGGACATTGTTGTGTTTCATGGTTCCAAGGTCAAGGCCAAGGTCACTGTTGCTATATATAGAAAACCATCTACTGATTCAATTTAAACACTTAGCAACTTCATTAAATATGTTATGGAGATGGTTATAACATACAATGAACCCATATGAATATTAAAATCAACTTTAAGTGTAGTACCCTGTGTGTGTGCATGTTTCGGGGTATCAAGATCAAAGTGGTTGTAACTTTTTATAGAACACTGAAACTAATTTCACATGGCGTCGGGGGCATTTATGTCTTACAGATATTTTCTAGTTACTAATGATATCAGATGCTGGTACCAGCATTTTCTGTCATATTATTATATAAAGCTATCAAAGTGTTTAAGCTAAACAAAGATAAAATATACACATTTGATGGAAAATAATAAAGATTTCATTTGTTTCTTTTTCAGTCTGGTAATCAAGATGGCAATCAACAAAAAAATACTTTGTTTTCTAGCATCCTTTTCCTTGTTTTACATCAATCCTGGCGCCGCCATAGCCACAACATCAACACCTACTGATGTTTGTAAGTAACGATAACTATTTTCATTACTCTGTTTATATTAGCAGAACATCGAGACAGCACATCATCAATAGTTAAAAAGTCTCACTCTGAAAGTCGTGTATTTCTGAACAGTTACAATTACATTTAAGTTAAATGAATAAATAATTGTTGTACATGTAGAAAAATGCAAGTTTATTTATTTTAATTGTTATTACACTTTATTACGTGCGTCCTGTGGGCTACTGTAAATACATTTAGTGATGGTATACATATTTCTTTCTTTTAAGAAAAAATATACTGGATGTATTTAATCATCACTGAAACATTATGTAAAAAACATTTCCTACGTGTATAGCTTTATTGAGTCGAAAGCATATTAGAAACAGAATTTGTTCAATGCTGTTAAAGAGGTGATGCGTATTTTCCCCTTTAAGTTCTATCAATCATTTCAATAAGGATCACGTATGGAAAACATATCGGGGAAAAAACATATACATACAAGGAAAGAAAAATATAAACTAAAAAACAAACGATGTGGATTGGAAACATAAGCTATTTAACGGAAGTACAGTAGTCATACACACTACTTGATGTAAACCTATTGTTACATCAACAATCTTTGAAATATAGCAAAACACAGCAACACCACACTATGCATGGTTTTTATTCTTTTCATGTGCATGGTGCATCCTTTTCATAGATACATTATTTTTACATATTTGTTATCTTTTATTCGATTTTGTATTTCTTGAAATCGGAGGAATCAAACGTTACGTTCTTAATACGACACTCCTTGCAAGACTATATCCTTGAATAATTAAGTAAGCAAGTACTATTGTTGGCAGTAATGTGTAACGGAACACTCCAGGTTTATCTCAATTTAAACTCTCACAAACACTATATGTATGCAGGAACTACAAAAACAAAATAGCAAAATTTAATGTACATTTCAAATATTTTGTATCAATGAACATTTCACATAAAATCTGACATATTGAAAATCAATGAAAGAAAAACGCGTGCTTATTGAAAGCTTGCAATTTGTATAATTACAACATATCGTCGTTTGAAGCACGATTTTTCAACATTGACTTTATAAAGTCATTCGTTTTATAATGTTAGCATGCCAAGCCCCTGGAACAGTAAATGTTAGCGTCAGTGACGGAACTATCGGAAGTGTTTTGGTGGAATGCGAATACGAAGGAAACAACACCGTGAGAACCATACAGAATAGTGGACCCACCGACAGTATCAGTGTTCCTAACTGCACTATAGTAAGAATTATTACCAGTTCATCTTATTGCTGGGGTTTCTGCCAAAAGCAGAAAAAATGTAATAACACTGTATCTATTATATTATCTTTTAAACAAATGACAAAACAAAGTGTTTAACAACTTGATCAATTATCTTCTTTCTGTAAGGGTTTTAAATCATTAAAACGTTTGTAAGATATGAAATATTTAAAACTTTCCAAAAACAAGCACCGTTTTGTAGAAATGAAGTATTCACATAACACTCGCAGTGGTAAACGAAAAGTACTAGGGGCGGAAAGGGTCAATTCTGGCTTCATCGGGGATTTAGAATAATTATGAATTTTTAAATTCATTGGACAACTGGTTTAGGAGATATGGCATTACAAAGAGAGACATAAACCCGCATATTCATAATAAAATGCGTGAATACCGTCTGTTGTCTGATATTTGCAAATTGGTCGTTTTGAAGGAAATTAACTAAACACTCTTAAACTTTTGAAAGGCTCTGTAAGTAACAAACAAATAAACATTTGTCATGCTTAAAAATTTTGATTGTCACAATGCGGAGGCTTTCTTTATGTATGTTAACTGTCCAAAAACACAACATTTTTGCTATTTCTGCATAGCAACGCAGTTTCGTTGCTATGGTAGGGCATCTACGCATGTGCATTGGAAAAATCTACACCAAGAAAGATAGACTCAATTAACCAGTATGATGTTTATAACAGAAATCGGTTAAAATTGAAACTGACTTTTTATGAGGCACAACATTTTTTTTTGTCATTCTGTTTATAAATGTATATAAGCCAATGTAAACATTAATTTTTCGAAGGGCCTAGTGAGCTTATGCCGTTGTGCGGCTCCGTCGTCCGTCCGTCGTCCGTCCGTCGTCCGTCCGTCAGTCCGTCCGTCCGTCCGTCGTCCGTTCGTCCGGTGTCAACTTTTTACTTTAAACAACTTCTTTTAAAAAAACAGAATGCCAAGGATGATGATAGTTTGCCTATAACATGCTAAGATGAATGGCTACTAAGTTTGTTTAAAACACTGACTTTGACGTATATGCAAGATCACAAGGGTTGGCCAATTATCTAAAAAAAAATCAAATAACTTTTTATTCAAGGTCACAGGAGTGAAACATTTATAAAGTATTTAAATCACTCTATCTGAATAACAATTTAGCCTAAAATGTTGCTATTTAGGCAGTAGCATGCCCGGATGAAGGCTTACACCATTGTTCAAATACATGACCTTGATTTTGTTCAAGGGTCACAGGGGTCAATTTGTTTTTAATCATTTAAATAACTTCTTCTGAATAACCAAAAGGCCCAGGATAATGATATTTTGCCAGTAGCATCCTTGGAAGATTGACTATTAAATGTGTTCAAATTAATGACCTAGCCGTTTTTCAAGGTCACAGGAGTCAAATGTGTTAAAACTTTTAAAAGGATTTGTTGAATGACTGATAGTCACAAATAAAATACTGATATTTTGCCTGTAGCTATATTTTAGTCAACTTTCAATGATACAAGTGTGAGATTAATACCAGTTGAGCGATTCAGGCTCTTTGGGCCTCTTGTGCTATATAGTCAGAGTAACATGTATTGTTTTCCTTATCATGACGCAGACAAAATTAGCCGTTTGCATGTTATCAGTCTGTATGTAAATAGGTATCATTCATCATATTGTAATATGGAATCTTTATCCTAATTGAAAGTATTATTCGAAAATAGATTTGCAAACTTTCACTTGTCTTGTACCTTATAGTGAAATATTAATAATTTGTGTATATATTGTTTTACAGAACAAACCTGTGACACTTGTTCTTTTCAATGACACACATAATGCGTCACTTGGAGTTGTTATAAAGAAGGACGAATCGTATGTAGTTAAAGAGATCATCGTCATTTGTAACGGATCACACATGACAGTCAAAGAAAGTTTCAACAAGTATGTGTCCATTGATTTCAGTGTTTACTTGCGTAAGTTCACTGCTCGAATACTACATAAGGTACGTCAACAATGTACCATAAAACTATTAATACAGCAAAACCATGCATTTGCACATGATTGTAAGAGTGGTTTAATTTACATGTATTATACAATACTAGGAAGGTGTTTATTAATTTTCGTACACATCACGCATTGCCTTTAAATTACAATTTTGTGAAATGTAAATTATTTAGTCAACATTAGATGGTTCAAGTAAAGTGCAAAACGATAAAAAAAAAAACGAAACCAAAAGAACTAAATAAAATGACGGGATCGGAACGCAAAGGAAAACCCCTGCAAGTTAGGGAAAATAACTTGCCTGCTCCATTACACTGGACATTATCGTAAGATACATCTAATATGAGGGCCTCTGCTGAATCAGATGTTTCGTCTGTGTCTTCTGTTTACGGGACAGCTAAGAAACCGAAATTGAACTGAAGCCACTTTGAATTCGTAATATATTCTCTCATGTTCTTATATATTTTCATTTTATTTGTTTACTGATTTACATTGTTTTTGTCGATGTCTTCCTATTCCCCACCTTCATTTGACCTTAGTTCTCCTGTGATCGTTAATCTAACACTAACAAACGAAATTAAGTTATCTGTTTTGAAATTTGCATAAACAGAAAGTAAATAGTTAGTATCATTGGATTATTTAAACATTAAATTCCGTTCTGTTTATAGTTACAATCTTTTTTATTAATCAGAACTGCAGGTTGACAGATCGTCATTTCATAAAAATCATCTTATACAATGTACCAGCTGAATACTAATTTCACGTGTTAGTGTAAAATTAACGGACGTATAATAACCATTTTAGAGGAAAAGGTTGTTTCAGATAAAAAAAAACAACAGCAAATTGAATTGTCGGAATGACTTTTTATCGGTTTTTACGATGGCGGCTTCCAGCTGAAATAACTGTTATAACTGCATCTGTCCAACCAAAATTAAAGCACAATATAGAAGAATGACCAGAAAGTAAGGGAATGCTTTTCTTTTCGCTATAATGTGGAAGGAAAAATTCTCATTCTTAAAATATTAGGCAATAATCGAAGTATAAGTTGAAAGATTATCATGTAATTCAATGATAAGTTAACTAATATACAATGATCTAGGGACTGATTAAACATTATCTATGCAAAATCACTGTTTGCATTCCTTCATAATCCTGGCAATGTCATGTATACAACGTTCTTTCACTTATTCGATTGAAACTAAATTATTATAAATGTTCTTTTGATAATGTACAATGTTTCAAGGCGACAACAGCATTATGCCAAACAGACTAATGCAGGCTTAAACTTTGTTAGACATTTTAGATTACTTGGGACATGGTAATGAAACCTGGGAGGTCACTTGAAAGAACAACTCTTACAAAAAAAATCCTTTTAAATTATTGTTAAAAACTGGTTGGTAATTTATCATTTCTGCTTCAATGAAACAAGATGGTTTCAATTTCAAACGTTTCACTTTTCGTATATAAAAGGAGAGAAAAAAAACCCAGATCGCATTACCATAAAGGCTTAGATTCGACGAAGTCAGGCCGAAAAAACTCTGGAAGGAAAATGCATGATTAACGGTCACATGAGCTTGTTTTGTGTAGCTTGAATCGCAAGCCTAGAAGTTAACATATGCATGTACTGTTATTTTTTCGTTTTGTTTATTCACGTGCATTTCCTTTTGCATAGATTTGGCGAAGCCAGAACGAAACAAAATCTGAAGAGAACAATGTACGACTAACGGTCACATGAGCTCGTTATGTGTAGCTTGTGAATCGAATATAAAATGCATGTCTGTTAGTTTTCCGTTTTGTTCATTCACGTGCAGTTTCCTTTACTATTTCGTGTATTTAGTATTATTCTTTCTTGTTTACCTCATTTCGTTTCGATTCGTACCGTATTTGCTTTCCCTTTTAAAGTTACGTGTTCCCGCTTTTGGCGCGTTATTTACAGCTTCGAGCTTCTAGTGGTTCATGATTGTTGTGCTAGCGATCAAACAAAACTTCCTGGTCTTGCAGAAAGCCAACGCACGTCATATATGACTATTTTTAAAGAAAAGAAAAATTTTAAGCAAACAGAAATTTCCCTGTTCTACCACAAGTGAAATAGTCATCTTGCAAACAATGTATTACGGGTGTTTTACAGGGAGACATATCAACGTTTCTTTTCATATTTATCTATATAAGGAAACAGAGTACTCTGATAATGACCATGGTTTTTCTCTATCTTCTAGTTCCGTTCTTGCCCCAACGGTGCTTACAAACATTCCGCTGCACAATACATTGACCATGAAAGTGACAGACGAAAAGAGTAACAACCTGGCCACTGCTGTTGATATAGCACACAATTATAGGTTAAACATTACCGGCCCAGGTAAGATTGTATTGTACATATAAAACACACTGAATACAATAATGTTATAAAAAATAATATTGTTCTGATACTATGTTTATGAATGATAAAAGACGAATAGAGTTTNACCACTGAAAACAATAATGTTATAAAAAATAATGTTGTTCAGATACTATGTTTATGAATGATAAAAGACGAATAGAGTTTGATTTGTTTGAAAATAAAGTGAGTTAAATGAATTAGTCACATCTGCCAAGAGTACCAAGTGGTTTTACGAGATATATTGCCGAAGTTTTCAACATTATTCTGTGTGTAATTTTTTGCTCTTTTAATTTTTCATCATGAGGCACGGTTAACTACGTTTTTGAGTGATTTACACACTGGATGTAACGAACACTGACCAGGATAGTCGTCTTACCGAAATTAATTATGTTTACATTATAATCCTTTGACGATAAAATGCACTTTTTTCTAACCCTGCGATTCTTTACCTCAGTTCATAATTGTAGAATATATATCAAGAGAGACAATGTTAGATAAGATCACTTACAGCGGCTGCTTCGGCCAGCGTCCATTATCTTTCAAAGTTTTACCAAACATTCTTACTCAGTGCATGCAAGTTACAACCTACAACTTCACATTTCCTTTTTTATGTTGCATGCAAAGTGTATAAAAAAAATGATTATGTGCTTTATCTTATCCTTAAGAAAGATCGCAAAGGGCACCGAGACAAGCAAAACATCCAAAGAAAACTTCTTGTAATTCTAGTCTTAATATAATCCCGTTAGATACAGACAGAATTAAATCTATTATAAAGATAGCTTATTATCATTTATATCCGTTATACTAATGAAAATTGTAATATTCAATTTCAGACAGTTTGTTTCTTCTCGTTGAATCGTGTGATGCTGCCTCAGATTCTAGTTTCAAGAAGGATTTAGTGCAGTTATACGTCGACAGGTGAGCTCCTAAAACCTATACATTAGTTATCGCTGCCGTTTTCATACAATGACGTTAAGAAAAACCTTAGATATTCCATGAACAGCAAGATTCTTTTCAGTTATGCTCGTTTTACCAAGTGATGCTTGGTTTTATTTGGATGCTTTCGTGTGATACGCCTTAACAACAACTCGAACATACATGTACATGAAATGTATTAATGATATACTTTTTATAGAAAAAGTCTCATATACGTTTGTAAGTTTGCATTCAATTTCTTTCAGGAAACCAAACGATGATTTTGGTGTTTTAGGAACATTTTTAAATAATATAACTAAAACAACTGAAGCTACTATGGTTGGTTTCCGATTAGTTGATTCTCCTGTTGTATACCTACGCTGTGTGGTCGATGTTTGTAATGAGGCCGGTTGTCCATCTCTGACTCCCTCAACGTCACAGGTAGGATCGTTACAGAACATAAGTGCGCTCTATACGTTTTAATCATAGAACAGGCCATGCTGTCTCCAGTTTACTGATGAACGAATGGATGAATTGATAACATTTCCTTTCTGTGTATGTCCTATGTCTATTTTGAATGTCCTTATTATGCCATCGCCATAAAATGAAGGAGCTTATAGTGTTGCCCATGTCCGTCCTGTCGCGTCCCGTCCCGATTCAATGTAAACACCCCTCCCGTCGCGTCCCGTCCCGATTCAATGTAAACACTTAGCAACTTCATTTTTTGACAGATATTGATAAAACCTCTTACAAAGGTCAATTATGAGTATACTTCGGACATCGTTGTGTTTCAGTGATCAAAGGTCAAGGCCAAGGTCACACTTCCTATATATAGAAAATCATCAAATGAATCAATTTAAACGCTTAGCAACTTCATTCTTTTATGGATTTTGGTTAAACTTTATGCAAAGGTCATTAATAAGTATACTTCGGACATTGTTGTGTTTCAAGGTTCCAAGGTCAAGGTCACTGTTGTTATACATAGTAAAACTATCAACTGATTTAATTTAAACACTTAGCAACTTTATTTTTTCACCGATTTTGGTCAAACCTTATGCAAATGTCAAATATGGGTATACCTCTGACTTGATTTCAATAAATGTTATTGTCAAAGGACAAATGGATTGGGCAGCAGGCATAGCCTATTTAAGCCCTTTGCAAACATAGTACCAGACAGTGGTACAAGCATATACATAGACATTAGAACACACACAAACACATATAAACAAGTTGGTATTATCAAATTAAGAATCAAATTAGGGGAAACAACTACTAATACTCATTTTTATTATAATTGAATCTAATGGTTTAAATTCTTACCTTTTATTTTGATATTAAAAAGACATATACAAAATATACCGGTATATATATATAAACATATTATGAAGAGAAAAGAAAAATAATTTGTTGATGGAGCTGCATGTATAAACATTTGATGGGATTAAATTACCGCACCCAACAGATACAGGCCACCTCTGACATCCTGGTGTTTCAGGGTTCCAAGGTCAGGGCCAAGGTCACTTTTGCTATTAATAGAAAATCATCAACTGATTTAATTTAAACAGTTAGCAACGTCATTCTTTCACAGATTTTGGTCAAACTTTATATAAAGGTCAAGTATGAGGATCCCTCTGACATCCTTGTGTTTCAGGATGGTAATAACATACAGAAAAAACACATGCATATTAAAATCAACTTATCAACTTTAAGTGTAGTACCTTGTGTGTGTGTGCATGGTTCAGGGTATCAAGATCAAAGTGGCTGTAACTTTTTATAGAACACTGAAACTAATTCCATATGGCAGTTATGTCTTACAGACATTTTCTAGTTTTTCCTATATCTTCTGTCATTATGATATGATTATCTGTCAGTGTACATTCCGATTTCTTCAGGTGTTGCTTATGTTTTGCTGTAAGTCTGGCTATATGCATATATATGTATTTGGGGATTGATTCTCCTATATATCGATTGCTTGGTTACTGAATAAATTGATTGTTTGTTGTCTCATTAATTAGTTAATTATTTAATTGATCGTCAGTATTGGTAAAGGTACATCAACACAGGTTAAACACTATTACACTGTAAGAAGAATGGAAATAGAGTAGGGATAAAAATGAAAGCAATTAAATGATCAGATATACAACATTTGCCATTTTACGGCATGCAGCTAGGTTTTTAATACACCTTTATTCACAAGTGAAACTTGCTAAAAAAAAATATAGGATATAAATAAAAGGAAACATGATTTATGCATTAGAATATGATTTTTAATACATTTCCCGAAGTTTTAATTAACGTTTTATTGAAAATTTTATAATGTTTACTTCAGTTTATTATCTGATCTGTCTAGTTATCTATTTTTCAAGATCTCGTTATGCATTAACTGACAAGTCTGTTGGATAATTGCTAATGCTGTAAATGTAAAATAGATCAGGTTATATTTAGCAAGAAAAGATTTCTTTGGAAAACGGACATGTGATGAATATATTTGATTAGATTAGGCGTAAGAAAGAGTTGTGTTATTTATATTGTTAAGACACGCGAATGTTAAATTGTTACAGAATATCAATATATAATTAGATAAGGACATGTTTAATTTCTTTTAAATTTTGAATACAAATCATATAATATAATAAATGTTTTCAATATTTGCATATTTTTTTTCGTGGTTAATATATAATGTTCAATATTTTCTTCAAACTAGTTTTATAATAAAACATTCAATGTTATATATAAACATATCCGGGTCATTGTCATTGTAAGGACAAACATACACGTATATATGGAGTATATGTATTCTGTAGCAATCAATTGTAATTGTAATTGTATAACTTATTGTGTTCCCAGTCAATCACTGGATCAGGTCGCAGACGGAGGAATGTGGACACAACTAATCGAAGAGTGACTCTGTCAACCTCATTCAGAGTAGAACCGTTATTTACAACAAGTGGTGTTAATGGTAAGTACATATATGTATTCCAAGATCCACGTTAGTTTCTATTTAAAATGGTATGAATAAAACTATTTTAGAACTCTTTATTAAAGACGGAGTCCGGGAGGCTGTAGTGAATAGTTTTGTTTATAGAAAAATAAAATGTGTGAGAAGAGTTTTAAATCTCAGATAAACCGTTAATCATTATCACGTTCAGTTGTCACATATACATATAATATATATTTACAGTGTCATATTTATCAAATAAACCGTCACCATTTTTACAAATATATTATGATACATTTTGCCTTCAACATAAAATAAAATAAAATACGAAATGACAAACCAAAAACAAAATATCAAACTATTCAAACATCACCATTTAGTATATCAAATGATGAAACCGATGTTATTAATTGACCCTATACATACGATTTATTTAAAAAATCTTTATCCTATAGATTTATGCCTTTTACCCCCAGATCTCTATTCAGAGATAATTGTACATTAAAGCCCCTGTTTCATCTATACATTATTTTAATGCTATTTTTTGCAATATCCTTTGCGCTTTTTATTTGTGCATTCATCCCGACTATAAGGTATATAACTTTCTGTCTCTCCTTCCACTTGTTGTTCTATTTGGTAATCGGTCGTCCGATTTAACGACATAATAATGGGCCCAAATGACAAAATTTATTGATTTGCCGATTAACAAATAATGAAAATATAAAGTATTTAAAAACCTAAGAAATATAGTTATTTGCAGTTATTTATGTTTTCTTTGAAAGCAATGTATGACTGTCCTGGGCGTTTGCTGCAATTTATGGGCTGTGCAATAGTACTACAATGCTATAAATATAAATTCATTTTCATGTTTAATAACATATTTATTCTTGAAGTTGAAAATAATGGGGTTTATTTTATAAATATATTTGCATGATTTTAACACCAAACTTACTACAAGGTACTTTACTCATCACAACAATGCTATACTAACACTGCTGCTTGTGAAGATGGTATTAATGCAAGAATTTGAAAAGAATATTCACTGCAAAAATAACTTAATTTTTGACAGTTTATCATTACTGTAGTGTGATTTTTATATTTCTTTTTTTGTAGTCAAATGGTATCTCTTTATACTGAAGAATTTAAACAAACCGTTAATTGATGCTTTAATGAGTTGAAAAATAAAATGTCTAGCTGTCTTTTAATAACAAAACTACTATGGTTGTGAAAAGCATGTCATACGATGTTGATGTACGTTATACGACAAATATGTAAAGTGTAATTACTAAATATTTATCTTTCAGGTTCTATCATTGGTGACAGGAAATATGCTTTCATAGCAATCCTATTACTTGCAAAGTATTTCCACTTTTTCCGTTAAACCTACGCAAATATTCAGCCCGACAAATTTGTGTAGGAGAAAAAAAAGACATTGTTTAATTTATTCAATTTAAAATTCTAAAAGGACTTAATGATGTAATTTTATCATGAGAAACATAGTAGAATTGCGTTCACCATTTTTTCCATTTTTTATATTCATGTTAGATATATCTTTTTCGTATTTTTTAACTTAACGACACCCTTAGAGTTGCTTGTTCTTGAACTAAAAACATCATGGGCCGGTCTAGTACCAACAAGGATATATTTTGTAATAATATATATGATGTAAATATTAACAAAATATATATTATATGAGATATGATTTGTTTTTAGTTAAACGCAGGGTTCTCACCAGATATAAGCAATCAACACAGGCTGAGAATGACCGAAATTGTTGATTATACTGGGAACACTATGCCCCGTCCAAGAATGAATAAATTAATTTTATTTCAACATGTACATGTTAATTATTTTGTTTATCGCAAAGACAGTTTAGATCGTAATCAACAATAATATCAATCGTATTTGTTTTCAATTCAAGCTTTTTTAACTTGGACAAATCTGTTATTCTGTGCCGTGTTATCTACGCTGTGTTTGTATTAAGTAAAACATGATAGGTAATAAGATATTCAAAACATCAAACGTCTCATTTGTACTAGCTTTTTAGTTTGTAAGGACATCATAGCAAGGGAAATAACTCGACATGAATTTTAAAACATATGTTAATATAATCTATCCTTATTAACAAATGATGCTTATCGTCCTTTGCTATTTGACTGTTCGCTAGATAAGATATAAGTCTAGGCATCTTCAATAAGATTCATCAGTTTGGAGATATGTTATATCAAATTTTGATATATTTGTCCGGACGTTTTATTTCACCAAGTACTGAATCATTATTTAATGACTGATAATTTGTCCTGCAATTTGATATTAATGGTAAAGGCCAAAAAAAACCTGGATATACGTATCCATTTTTTTCCAGCATTTGTAAACGATTCCATTTATTATTTTAATCCGATCATAATCTAAAACAAATCTAAATTAATAAAAAAAATATTCTTTAGTGTCATTCGCATGTTTTTATAGCAATGCTTGTTTCAAATGCTGATGTAAAATATATAAACGTTTATCGTATGTTTTAGTTGGTGAGTGGTGAGATTGGTAATTTCAAACAAAATATGCCTCATATTACTATCTGCAGTTGCACATCATGCATTGGTGAAAGTTCCTTGATGACAATATTTTACAAAGCTGAATGACCGTATCACTCAAAAATGTGATGCAACTTTAAAATTTGGTTATATATACAGTATTCCAAAATATTGATTACACATCATCATACATCTGGTTCATCCTTCTAGGTGATGATAGAGACAAGAAAGATGGAAATCTAAATTGTTTACATTAATGTAAAAACACAATTAAGAGGAGTACTGTTTTAAGTTCAAAGTCAGATACTTAGACAAATGTGTATTTAATGAACCCTGTAACTACTCCAAACAGATAAATATTTCCATCGCGGTTACGACAAACTGGGGGGACTAAGCAGAAATATTTAGTGTTGTTGGAAAAGAACAAGTCTTTTTATGTAATACAACCAACATTTCCTACTAATTTTACTTAATGATAACTGTTTCCAGTACTGGATAATGGGCAGTTTATACTAAACACCCAAACAATTTCTAATTTGATTGATTGATTTGATAGGCGTTCATGTGTCAAATGCTTTCATCGACTGCGTCCACTAACAAAATTATACTGACAGAAGAAAATAAATATATTTTTTCAACGATGATTGATGAAAATGATTAATCACATTTATGTCATTGTACAGTTTGTGAAGCTATGTATGTGATATTGGAAAATTCACACTAAGTCTTTCATGTATACTGTGTATTTTTTATTCAATGTTTAATAAAAACGTAACAATAGTTTTATGAAATATGATAAAATGCATCACACCACCAAGTTGTAAGAACAAGAAAACAACAAGCTCATACCGAAATATTAACATTTTATAAATAAAGGAAATAGATACATATAGATTATTGAAACAGTAATAAAAGAATTAGACCAAATGTTCAAAAACGTAAGCGTCGTCTGCTTCATCGATGACAACGGCCATGTGATTTTATGTCACGTGCAAGTAATTCCACCCCTTCAAGATATAAATATAACAACTAGGGTAGTGTCATAATTCGATTATCAACATTCATTTAGCACAAGGAATAGCAAATACTACCACCTATCATAATTGGGACCATTGCCCAAAGACTTAAACTAAATGAAAGCCCCTAACCTAGATCTTGTTGCAAACACAGCCATTACCTCAATGACCCATTCCCCAACCTTGAGGTAAAAACAGCACCAAGAAGACAACTCATTTCCGTCACCAAAATACAATCTATCTGCACTTGCTATTGCTGCAATTTCATTTGTTCTGAATTTTACGTTCTTAAATTCATATTAATTTCCATAGGTGACAATAATCCGTATAAATATTATTCATAATACATGAGGTAGTTTTAAATTTTGAATAAACGTGTTTATCTTCAGCGTATAAACTAAAATGGAATCATTTCACCAGCGAAATGCTTCAAGATCGAGTCAGTCTACAAATCATTTTCATACATATTAAGTAATGGAGATTGTTTTACCTTGCCGAACATAGTAAAACAAAACAGTTCTATAATTTCATTCTAAACCTTTACCCGTGATATGACAGAATTATACATGATTTCGATTGTATTAATTACTACTAATGATACAGATGTTTTAGTAAGTATAAGCCAACATGATATCTTTCATGTGATTAATCGCTTTCGAGATATCAATAAACGGACAATGTGAGGCTGGTAACTGGTCTTTAGGGAATTGGGAGGTTTTATTACACTGTTCGTTGATTAGCACACACAAAGTACTCAATAAGTATTTGTATCAGCTAAAGAGTTATTTCCCCTCACACATGAAAAGCATTGTTTTACAAGGCATAAATACATCGTATTAAAATGTCGCCCTCATTTAAATATAAAATTACCTTGTGCTCTGAAAAGATATTTTTGACATGGACAAAAAGTGAATAATATAGTTACATGTTTAATTAATAGGTAAACAAATGAACATAACATAATTTAAAATGTCTAAGCTTAGCTGTAAACAGTTAATACCAATATATTATTTAAATGTCAAACATGTTTATTGACAGTTTTAAGTACCAGGTTAACACTATTTCACGCTGTTCTCGGAAGTATTAATTCGTGTAATTTTGTATAAAACATAAGTAATACATTACAATTGCACAGATCATACACATAATGTATACGTCAACAGGAAATGTGAATTAAATGTGGAATCAGTTAATATATCAGTTTAATTTAAATTCCAAACATGACTTTAAAAGTAAAAAGAAATCCATTAACGCTATTTCACACAGTCCACTGGGGTATCAACAAGTTAGTATAATTCCGTATCTGACCTATGTAATATACTGCATTCGTCCAATTTAAAGCTTTCTTAAGGCAACATTTCATAAAGGAGTCAAATGTCAAGTATTATATGGTGTTAAAACCAGTAAAATCGTCGTGTCGCAATTTACAGATGTACATGTATACGTTCAAGATATGACTAGATGAGACCTGATTTATCTATTCTATAAATATATTTTTTACCGAACACGTATGTCACTCATAGCTTTATTATCACTGCAATGAATTTTGAGACATCCTTTGTTCAAATAAAATCGTTTACGATATGGGCTACAAGATACTGCAATTTTTTTTTAAATCATCAATAACTCAAGTTTCTTTTGAAGTATAATCTTGCATACAGTGCTAAACAGAAAAGTAAACCGAATTGTTATCGAAATTGTAACTTGATCTATAAATCGACAAATTTGGGACAACTATGAATGAAGGAAAGAATTAGAAATATTAGAATTGGAATTATAGAAAAGAAGTCATGCCTTTTTGTCAAACGGTCTGTTCATTTCTTTTTTTTATGTCACATTTGTCTCAAACGATATAGGACGTTAAAAGGGTTCTATAAATGATTTCCAATTAGCAATGCTATCTCAGGAGAATGATCTTAATAAAATAAAATAATTATTTCGTCACCTGAGACTGAAGAAAGTAAGTAAATCCATTGATAATTTGTGTTACAATTTCGCATCGTTTGGAGTGTGTTCCTTATCTAACAAGGCAATACCTGGTAAACTGTGAATGGATACCTGGTACATCTCTACCAAAATATGTGCTTCTAACAATCCAGTGCTCATTTTTTTAACTATAATATCTCTCACTTGACATAGAAAGATAAGTCACCAGCCGGATTGGTTTTGTTTCTCAAAGACGACTTTAAACCCTCAGCCATTGCCTGCAATCACCGGTAATCCACGTAAATATAATGTAAATATCACACAATACGAAAAATTGTTAAAGTGCTGATGTGTAGTAGTGGCATTGCAGGTACAGATTTGAAGAGTATTAGATTACTCTTTTATGATCAAAATGTCCAATGTAGTCCGTTGTCCATAGCGAACATGTTGTAACCATAATGCAGTTGGCAAAATTTAATTTAAACACAGAATACATCCGTATTGTTATGCGTCATCACCAGTGTCTATGCATTGATTGTTTACACATCAATGTTTAACACAATTAAGGATTCAATCTCTCTTCGGTCGATTTCATGGTGTGATGAATTGCGTTGCTCTTGGAGAAAATTTAACGAACTGCAAATGAACCATAAAGTCGACCTAAGCAAGATTTAAATATTATATTTCAATCAACGTGTCTTTTTTTTCAATAATTCGAACTTGTGAATTCCATTCTTTTGGTGCAAGTCTGCGTAATAACGTGATTAAAAAAAATTGGTCCGTCATTGAAGGACCATCATACAACATGATGGTATACGTTGATTGTTCAATACAGCCAAATTATGTAGAAACAAAACACAAAGCCATATTTTCTGACGCGTCATCGCGGAGGAATAATTTCTAAATAAGGTGCGCATGAACTGCTGCGAGTCTACGGCAGCCATCCTTTTATTAGCTCGAAGTGAAGAGCTGCTAAATGTCCAGGTTCTACATCTCCATGAATGTGAAGCTGCAGTAATTGAATGTCGAATTAGTCAAGAAACCAGACGTGGCTTGAAAGGACGAAACAATTCGATATGACAGTTGGCTATTCGACTGCATTTCATATAGGGGGGGACCACATGGATCTACGATGTTTTCGATCTATACAGGGGGTTGATGCAAGAGGCAGAATGGGTAGCTGGAGTGAACATTTCTAGGACAGAACATGACTTGTCATTACCGCTAGCAACCGTGAGCTGATAATATTTTGCAGATTGGTCGTTTTTTGGTTGTTTTAACAATTTTGTGCGTAGCTTCAATAAAAATGTTAAATTTCTTCAGAGGTAT